GCACACTACACGTATACACATCATACACGTATTGCGGTATTGACGGTTTGCCTTCTTTGTCATCATTGTGTGCGTTCGCCTCTCTCGAATAGAGAGCCTTTTGCACGAAGCGACGTCTGAGGCGGTTGGAAACGACGGTGGTGATAGTTAATCGTGCTCGGAGTGGTTTCTCTCGAGAAAATCGCATTGCCGCCATTTTCCTTCAGCCGTGGATATATAGTTACTCACAAGGGTGGATGGCTTCGGTGGCGTATAACACGCTGTATAATAACGGGGAATACTCGCCTCCACCACTATACCATTCGACGTTCAGTGGAGGTTGCGACAAATTGCCGGGCATTTAAAACTTTTTAATAACCCTTTTTATTTTTATTTTCGCTTTGTTTTCGTAAAAACCCACAACGGGCGCCCGCCACTGTAGAGTATATACATATTAGGATCTGATGCCGGGACAAACAACAAATGAGCCGCAATTATTGTGGACGACGTGCGTCGCGGACGGGAACGTTTCCGAACTAATGATCTTTTCATTCCTGCGCCCGTCTGAACTACCACCGCTACGATGACTTTGGTGACGATAATGATGATGATAGTTAGTTGGTTACCTATAGTACCTACAGTTTTTGTGTCGTAAGAAAATGTATATTATATAATATAAATAATGTTTGTTTTTCGTGTAAAATTTATTATTATTTTGTTTATCTACCAGAAATTTCAAAAATCGCAAATTCTCCTGTACAAATATGTTTTATATTAGCGAACACGCACCAGCAGTTACAGCAGAACCATTATTTCGTATACGCACCATTAGCAGAAACTGTCCGGTAATCGAACCTAATGCTAGTTCTGACCATAATAATAATTACCGTAGCTGCTGGATAATGATTGTAGTCTGTTTGTGTGCGCAATGTGCTGGTTGGCCTACATGGGGGGGGAGGAGAGTGAGAGAGAGAGAGAGACTCATTAAAGATCACAAGCGTCCATCAACGTTGATGAGTTCAAAAATTGTTTGTTAGTTCTACCCTGCAAGTAGGTCACTTGTGGGGTTGCGTTTGAGTTATGGAAGTTTTGGAGTTTGAAAAGGCCAAAGTAAACAAGCCGGTAAATACCTGCAAAAGTGATAATATGACACGACGTATAGTTCACTCAACGGACGTAGTGATGTATATATGGACATATTAATAATAGACTCTAAGATCAAGAATTCGCAAACTACTGTTATTCGCTCTACCGAGTTCATGTGAAAAATTCGGTTTTCTAGTCATCGTTATCACAGTTCTCGAATATGTAATCAACAGATAATTTATTCTACGTACCTCGTACAAGTACACACATTACACATACCTACTCGTGTTTAATCTCTGCATAAATTGCTTATTTCCTGGTCGGTTGCTCATCGTGTACGATATTAGTTGTATTAATTGATCACGCTATACCTACTCGTAGGACTACGTTGGTTCTCAATCCGAAATTGTACACATTCATTTTCGGAACAAAATGCAAAGTATTATAATATTTCTAAGGAATATTATATTTTTGTCTACACTACCTTCGTTATAGGTACATTAGTATAAGTACAACAACATGTGCGTGTTATAAAATTCGCTCATTTTTAAAAGTGGTTGAAAAGTTACGGGAATGATTTTAAAATACTGTGAAATCGTTTCTTTTTTGTATATATATTTAAAAAAAAAAAAGTAATAAATATAATGCGACAGAGATAGATTTCTCTGGTTGGATTTACTACTCTCGCGGTTTTATCTGCATTAGTATCTCTCTCCCGTCTTTGTATGTAATCGGTTTATAATACGTTTTGTGTCTTATGAACAGTAAGTCTATATAAATCGATTGCCGTCAGACTCGATGTATAGATAGGCCACATCAGCCTATGGGCCATTATGGAACACTCATCTTGCAACAAAACCGTATACACATAACACATTCCGTTCTGAGTGGTTCGGGCACCGCGATCCTAAATATTATATTATCTACACTTAGGATATTAATTGAATTTTGCGAAAAAATACGAGTTCCACAATATTGTTGTGTGCATCTGTCGGATGTGTGTGTGTGTGTGTGTGTGTG